GCATCGGGAGTGTTTATTGCAGTTGGAGTTTATAGAACAGTCATCCCGAACCCACCTTATGTATACGCTTAAGTACGTTTATGAGTCATGTAGGTACCTATTGTTTGCCCAGCGGATCTGAGTCTACGGAAGGAATTCGGAGGTAAATGTGCCATGTTGTCACGTTTAATTATTAAAAAGAGAAAATACCAGGCATGAAGTATAGTTCATTTGAAAATCCATTTTTTAATAACAAAATATAGATACCAATAAAACGCTAAATATTTCAACGTGGTTGTTAGATCTATTCTTATTCTAATAACTGATTTCTTCAATTTTGTCCATTGTAAAAAATAAACATTTTCTAAAGATACCATCAGTTTTTGACAATTTGGCAAGCATCCGGCCTGGATGAACCTGATTGGTGGAGTTTTTGGCAGGATGGCCGTTGCCACGGGGAACCATTCGTTGTCAATGGGCTAACGTCACCTATTACGTCTCGCTATTGGCCAGGGCTTCCGTCATTGTATCCTCCCATCTTGGAATATCGATTTATATTGAAATATCCAGTGGCGGGGGTTTGGTCATTTTCGATTTTCGTGTAGGAGTTGCAATACGATAACACTTCCAAAAAATTCCGCACGCAGCTGGGTATTTTATGAATGAAATCAGCCATTTTTTTCACAACTGCATTCCCCTTACCGTTGCCCCGTAGACACAGAGTCGCTGGGCAGACATTACCTACCTTTAATTTTTTTTTTTTTTTACAGATGGCAATCCCAAAAAAAAAACAGTAACTGGAGCTGGGATGAAAAAGGAACGACTGAAAAGGAAATTTTTCAACTACTCACATGAGGCGTTAAAACTGGCCTTGCAGGAAGTGAGAGCTGAGAGAATTAGTATTAGAAAAGCTTCTCTTCATTATGGCATCCCAAAAACAACCCTAATTGAAAATCTGAAAGGGCGGAGTAATATCACCCTAAAAAGGAAAACGGGTCCACCCCCAGTACTTGGTGAAGGCGTAGAAAATAAAGTTAAAGAATGGGTACTTAATTTTGCCAAGTGCGGGTTTCCAGTAAACAAGCAAGATCTACTTGACACTGTTCAAAAGATTGCCAAAGATATTAAAAAGGCTGACAAATTTCAAAACGGAAGACCAGGTCAAAAATGGTATAGCAATTTTTTAAAACGTAACCCTGAAATTGCAGTGAAAGAGGCAGAAGGAGTAAGCAAAGCTAGAGCTATTGTGAAGGAGGAATACATCAGATCTTGGTTTTGTGAACTGGCTGAATATTCCAGGGAAAATAATATAGAGGATCTGTTTAAAGATCCCTCTAGGATTTTTAATGCGGATGAAGTCGGATTCAATCTATGTCCAAAGAAAAACAAAGTTTTGGGTCCTAAAGGTTTCAAAAACCTTTTTACTATAAATATGGGTAATGATAAACAGAATGTAACAGTTCTTATTCTTATCAGTGCTGATGGGAAAATTGCCCCGCCTTTGGTAGTTTTTCCCTTTGTAAGACCACCAAAAACTATAGTAGAAAGCATGCCTAAATCTTGGGTTCTGGGAAAGTCAGATACAGGATGGATGCGAGGTGATGTATTTTATGAATATATCGCCAACGATTTTGCTAACTGGCTTCAAGAAAATCAAATAGAAAGGCCCATTATTTTATTCATTGATGGCCACAAATCCCATCTTACATTGGCTGTTAGCGAGATATGCGCTCAGTTAGGAATTATTTTGTATGCGCTGCCTCCAAACACAACACACCTACTCCAACCTGCGGATGTGAGTGTTTTCTTTCCAATGAAGGCACAATGGAGAAAGACCCTTAGAGAGTGGCACAGAATTCCGGGAAATGAAAACATATCCGTTACCCGAGAAAAATTTTGCCCTTTATTTCAAGTAACTCTCGAGAAACATGACATGAAAAAAAGCATAACTAATGGATTCAGAAAATGCGGACTATTTCCTCTGGATCCTAATGCAGTAGACTATACGAAGTGTATCAAGAACGTCTTAGAAAATTTACACAAGGAACACGAAAAAAAAGAACATATAAGTGAAGAAGAACTGACTTTGGCAGAAAAGGTAATTACAAGAATTAGAGACAAACTAGAGGAACGTAATGTTGATGTTGAAGTAATTGTTGAAGTTATTCGGAAAGAAATTGAAAGCAAGAAGAAAAACGAGCCCATTTCCCAGGAAAACGGAAAGGAAAATGTAGGAGAGGAAGTGAATCAAAATGAGAAAAGCCAAGTTTTACAAATTGGAGATATTGTATCTTTGGAAGACGTACAGATACACCAATGTGCAATTACGGAAATTCCTGATACAGCTAACAATCAAAGCATGCATGACTTTATTGAACTAATGGACGCAGACAGCTTCAACTTAACTAACGAACTAAACAAAATTAACTATAATGACACAATAGAATGGGAGTTTGAGGATACTAGTTTTATCCTAAATACTGAAAATAATAATGATATAATAATTGAGAATAAATCTTCACAGGAGAAGATAGTAGATGAGATTGTGATGAGTATTAACGACGCCAAATCAAAAGACTATATAAATGAAGCTGAAAATAAGAAATCACTAGTAGAAATGATGGAAACTAATACGATTGCAGAGGCTAATGATATTGAAAATAATGAACTTGAAGAGCATGGCGAACACCTTGAGAATGGAAATTTAGAAAATGCAAACATAGTATCAAACGAAAATACCGATTTAGGGGATAAAGTACCTGAAGAAAATTACGCACACTTTGAAAATAGGAACTTAGATGATATACCTCAAGTATCACACGAAAAGACTGACAATGATAAAACTGAAGAGCATGATACAAACGTTGACACTGGAGACCTAAATAATATATCAGGAGTATTGAAAGAAAAGACTAACGCAGAAAATGATGAAGCTAAGGGACATGATATTAGCTTTAATAATGAAAATCTTGATAGATACCTAGATAAAGAGATAATAATCAACAATATGTCGAATTCTGAAGATGAACATGTGGATAAAGAAGAAACAACTAATGAGAATAAAAAGGCTAATAATATAAAAGATAAAAACGGAAATGAATTGATGAATAAAATTGACTTGAACCTCGTTGAAACAGCTCAAAAAGAAGTAAATTCAACATCCGATGATATCCTTAAACCAACTATAGTGCAGGAAATATCACCATCCGAAACGTTTAGGAAACACCTAAGATATCCACATGCTATAAATAAGAGTAGTACCAATAAAAAACTTCAAAAGATGCCTAGTGCAATATCATCGGCTAAATGGAGAGAGTACTATAAAAAGGCGGAAGAAATTAAAAATAAAAAAACAGAAGAAGTCGAGAAGAGAAAAGAACTAAGAAAAAAAGCCAAAGAAAATAAAGAGAATAAGAAAAAACTCAAAACAAAGACAACTGCTAGAAAAAAGCCCTCTAAACTAATGCAAAAGCCTTTGTTACCTCAAAAAAAAGCAAAAATTAAATGTGCAGAATGTGGGGAAGAATTGGAAAGTGAGACTGAAGAAGAGGATGAAATGAATATTGGTTGCGATAATTGTGAAAATTGGTTTCACATGAAATGCACCGAATTTTATGGGATACCATATGCAGAGGCCTCGGAAAAAACATATAACTGTGTTAAAAGGTACCTAATTTATTTATTTTTGTTACCTACCTACTAACAAATGGTTCCTGATAATGTGATTTATTTAAGTTTACCTGCTTGTTTTTTGAAGAAGAATTTTTTTTTTTTTAAATAATATAGATATCATTTAAACCACATTTTGAGTTATTTATTGCGCTTTTTAAATCCCATTAAATAAGAAAAAACTGCTGTCGACAAACAGGTCTGTTTTTCGACCAGTTAGGTCGAAAACTGGGAAGGCAAAGGTCGTCTTGAGGCAATTTGTGGTCGAAAACCGGCAAAATCGACAATTTTTTCTTTTTTAATAGTTAAAAAATAGAGTATGACTTCAAAAATTTCACAAAGATATATTTTTTATTCTAAAATGTTTAAGGAACAATATGTAACCCTCCTTGATATCCAAAACAATAAAAACATATAAAAATTGGGCTTCAAAGTTGAAACTTCTGTTAAGTGGTCGAAAACCGGCGAACTTACCCTATGGCTTTTTCCAAATGTGTCGAAGAAAAAAATTAAAAACCGAAAAACCGGGTTTTCACATTTTCTTCGGAAATTTTTGAATTTAGGGAAAAATGGTTGATACAAAAGTTGTAGATATTTTTATCACCTACCTACCTATAACTTTTATATTTAACTTTTTTCGATAGGATGCACAATTTAGCCATAAATCGCGAAAAACTAGTTTCAACCTTCCACCTCGGATAGCAGTACGCGGTTCGATTTTTTCCCCTGTTTAACAATAATTCAGATTGCTGTAACGAATTATTTTATTTTTTTTTCTAATTCTGGACGCCTATTTTTACTGGTCTATACTATACGACAACGCTAAATGAAGATTGTATAATTCCGCTATTGGTGGTTAATAGTGGTTGGGGTGTGCAGGTGAAAAAAAAAAGAATATTGATGAGGACCAGTGACAATTATTCTAGAGTGACAATCAATTTTAAAAAAGTTACAAAATTTCATCAGTTTGTCTCTAGTAAAATCTTTGTATTAATCATTATTGTAACTTTCAACAACTATTATAATCATTGTTTCCAGTTTATTGCACCTTTTTCTAAATCATGCCCAGTTTTTAAATAAAATTTACAGTCCTCCTAGAACAGTTAAAAACACATCTATCGGTAATTATCGCCAAGAACCATGTGTAAAACCCAAACATGAAAATCTTTAAGCTCATAATTTTCTGGGATGAACATCACAAACTTGATAATGCAGATTAAACCAGAACTCTAGTATTCATAAACAAATCAAGTTTTCTCTCCTGTCTTTTCTTAGTTTTCTTTCAATTATGTATAGGTGAAAATTTTAGTATTGGATTGGTCGAATGAATTTTAAATAATAAGATCACCAAAAATAATCTTACTCAATAATTACTTTTTATTAAAAAAATACATAATAATGTGAAGAAGTGGAGCGGAAATAAAAAGTGTCATGAAACAATAAAATGTAAAACCTGCAAACATAACATTGACTCCTTTATTTCTTTATTCTGTTCCCGCTTCATTTCTTCCAATTTAATTATTAGGGGTGTTAACTTTAAAAACAAATCAGATAAAACAAATTACACTAATTGAACGCCAAACTTGGCCAAATAATTTTGAAGACATGTCTGAGACTGAGTCGAAGTGTTGCTGATTAAAGTAGGCACCCTGCCTGGTTGAGAGTTGCTCAAACTCTTCAAACTTTGTACCAAGAATTGCCTTGGCTCGCTTACATTTGGCAGAGGATCTTCCTTTGTGGTATTAGCAAAATTAAGGCGAGCATTTGATGTTTGATAAGTAGGAATGTCGTCTACTTCGATAAAATGATCATCGGGCAAAGTGGATTCGTCTGGGGGCATTTCAAAGTATACTAACAAAGCTTGTAAAAGTTGTGGCCAATATTTTCCATAAATACCATCAATCATTTCAGGGCTTTCGCCTAATAACTTACTAACACCACAAGATACGATTTTTCTCTCAATTCGCCCGGTGACTTTTTGAATTTCTGCTATCAGCAATTTTTCAAGTACCATCCCAAACATTTGAGGCTGAATTCCATCAATGAGCATTATTAACTCACTTGCCGAATATTTGACCATAAACAGACAAATAAGAACAATAAAACCAACAACAAATTTAGTTGTTTTACTAGACGACAGCCTTTGAAATAATAAAAAGAATATTTGTTTTAAAAATGGGGCTAATGTTTCTTTCGGGATATTTTGTATCATACTTTGCATCAAATAGAAACCTTCATGATCATTAGATTTAGAGGCGATAAGCTTCTGGAAAACTCCAAGAAAACCCGAAAGTTTATCTTGAGCTATAATTTGAGGAGCCGCCTGTGTAATGTAGGCCCTCAATAACCTTACTAGAGGACTAATATTTGCTGGCCTTTCCCATAAAACTGGAGCTAATAAACACGGCAATAGTTGCATATAGGATTCTGGAATATTCCCTGCAGGAGTATATTCCATAAATAACGAAACAATTTGAAAAACATAAGGAATAAATTCTTGAATATCTTGTTGTAAAATGGCTTGAAAAGTAGGGAATAAAATGTCCTCGAAAGATTTCACTGCTGCTTGATTAGATTTACAAACAATCATGATGGATAATGAAAGAGTCTCAAACAAATAATGATTAAAATGAGGTTTGGATGGGTTCTTCGCAACTGCCTGTAGTTTTTCCGTCAGTTTAGGCAAAGACGCTCCAAGGAATGGAATAACTAAATCCTGTAAAGTCGAAAAAGTCCTCATAATAGCCTTCATAACATACTCATTTTCTTCAGATACTGGCTTCTCCAAAACTCCAAACAATTGTGAAATTAATTCAGCAGCAAAAGGTTGAATTTGAGCTCCTGTCACATGTGGATGATTATTACTATCTCTCATGATTAGTATTTTTTCTATACAACAAGCTGCATAAGTGTGAACTACCGCGCTTTCACAGCTCAAATGTCTAATCAACTGGGGCAGGCTGGAAACAACTAAAGTACTGGGCAACACTGATCTGAAAGTCATCAAATATTTTATGGCGTCAGCTTTCAGTACAGGAAGTTCGTCTACATTGGGCCGCTGTAACTCAGCTACAATATTTTGCTGGAAAAATTGGGAAATATCTACCAATTTACTGGTTTGAGTTACTCCGTGTTTTTGTGTCGCTCCTCTGCTGACTAACGATATCACTAAATATAAAGCTGCATCCTTGTGTCGCCAGTTACTTTTGGGATTCTCTGCGAATTTGGCTAACATGACTTGTAAATACTGACCAAAAATTTTCATTATTTTTTCCTCGAAATGCACACTTAAAGTGTTAACCAAATCACATGCTGCACGTCTTCTCGTGTCCACATCTGAGCCTTCGATATCTCGTCTTGTAAATTCTTCTGGATTATCTTCAAACAATTCTTGATCAGATTCTCTAAATTCCATATTTGGGATGATGACTTTTTCGCAAATGCTGCTTAAAACTTGATCGTCTTCAAATAAATTTCTATAATGATTTCTTTCGGCTACGGTAGATAAAAATTGCAATGCATTGGAGACTAGTAAATCATTTTTTGGTTCTAATCCTGTGCCTACTAACAAACTCCATACATCTGTGACAAATTGTGGTAAATATTCCCGAAATTCTTCATCATATTTTTGGGCATAGAGAGCAATGTTGTCACAAATTTGTGTTTTCAGTTGTTCAATAACTCCTACACTATCATCAGTGTCTGATTGTAAATTTTTAGCTTCCACAGTGAGTAACAGGTGAAAGTGCTGCATCCATATTTGCATGTTATCTTCAAAAAATTCTGGCAAATCTTGGAAGTTTAATGAATAAAATACTTTCGATATTAATACTAAGGAGCTATAAATAGTTTGAAGTGCATTAACATCATTTGCATGTGTTTGTGTTAGATTTACAGTAGCCACGAATAAATTGGTTAAAGGTTGTGCCAATTTTTCCAAAACATATTTAATTTCAGTCCAAAGTTCGTTGGATTTGAATTCAAAACGATATTTCTTGAATAAACTATGACCAGTTCTTAAAATGCCATTTATAACATTGAAGTCACCCGTAGCGAATTTTTCCACCATTTGTGTTATTAATTCGGGCCATTTAACAGGAAAATCTGTCTTGCCGATGATGCTTATGGCATCACTTAGTTGTTTCTGAATAGATTCTGGAGAAGTTAACATAAGAGTCACTATCATACTCTTGATAGCAGCTCTATCTGACTCATGTATCCTGTCTGGTTGATCTTCTTGTACAGTCCAGTTGCGTTTGATATAATTTTTAAAGGCAACAGATCCAGCTATTCTCACAGTCATATCAACTTCGGGTTTGTGGACTAAGTTTAGTAGTAGTAGAGGGTAGTTTTGGTTGACTTCTACACCTTCTAAAAACTTTTCTGCTGGTCTACGGACATTGACCTCTGGGTTGAGGGTTTCTTGGAGATATCTGGCTAACGTTTGGAGGTTTTCATCTGAGATTTCCATGGTCTGAAAAAGGTAAGAAATTTTTTTCAATACGCTATTTGATATTTTTGTGTAGGTGGGGTCGATGCAATGGGTGTTATGAATAAAAACGAAGTACATGCTACTACTACAAGTATTAGTATATTATTCGAAGTATTTACTTCACAAAGAAGCATTTACTTATTTCCGGTAGTGTCTACTTCGTTTTGGAGTAAATACTACGTAGAACATGCTAATACTTGTAGTAGTAGCAAGTACTTCGTTTTTATTCATACCACCCAATGGGTAGTGTGAATAAAAATTTAGTAAAAGCTTTATCTTGCATTTCCTAAGCAAATACTTACTTTGCAGTGAATAAAAATGAGTATTAGCTTTAACTAAAAATTCAATTAGTAAAAGCTACAGTTTTTAGCATTGCCTTCAAATGGTGTGAATAAAAGTAAGCAATTCCTAATTATATGAAGAAAAAGCTTACAATTTTGCAAGCCTGGTAAATATTGGCTTAAACATTTAGTGGTGTTTAAAAGTTTGGAAGAAATGGCTGCGTTTTTGAATATAAGGTCTGCGAAATTTCATCCCGAAAGAAAAGAAATTCGTGCCGAGGTCGCAGAGGAATACCACAGTCTCTCAATTCGAGGTTGGCTGAAGATTTTTCAGGAACCTCCTCCTCCAACAAATCACTATCAGAATTACAAAAAGAAAACTTATTCAGTCTTCTTTTTGTAATTTACAAAGCTCCACTGCAAGAAAATGGACTATTAGTATTTTTTCAACTTATAGAATTGTCTGAATCACTATTCATTTTCACCTTGAAGCGCTGGCGTTCGATACCGCTACTTATTTAAACGGGTACGTTCATCAGTACTTAGCAGCTAACTTGCAGTGTAAAGCAGTTGAGGACAGTTGAAATACAACGGATGTAAATCTCCTGAACGCATAGTTGAGAGTTATGACAAATGACAATTCAATAAGTTGAGTTGGTAAGCGTAAACTTTTACCGCTTAGAGAAATCGGCAGCAGCTGACAAAAAGCGGTTTTTACTGAGCGAATTGTTTTTCCCTACTACTTAACTGTTGGCGACAGTGTGCTAGTGATCGTACCCAATCGCGTTCAGCGGCGCTCAGTAGAAGCCGCTTTTTGTCCTGCCGATTTCTCTAAGCGGTAAAAATTAACGCTTACCAACTCAATCTATGCGCAGAAGTGTAGGGCGTTCAGGAAATTCAGATCCGCTGTGTCTCAACTATCCTCAACTGCGTTACCCTGCAAGTTAGCTGCTGAGTACTGGTGAACGTACCAAATTATTGACTTCTTTCAATGTTTTAACGCCGCCGGTCATAGCTTTGTTCCAACACATCAAGAAACCGTACAATGGGTAGTGTGAATAAAAATTTAGTAAAAGCTTTATCTTGCATTTTCTAAGCAAATACTTACTTTGCAGTGAATAAAAGTGAGTATTAGCTTTAACTAAAAATTCAATTAGTAAAAGCTATAGTTTTTAGCATTGTCTTTAAATGGTTTGAATAAAAGTAAGCAATTCCTAATTATATGAAGGGAAAGCTTACATTTTTGCAAGCCTGGTAAACCTTGGCTTAAACATTTTAGTTGTATTTAAAAGTTTCAAAGTTTGGCAGAAATGGCTGCGTTTGAATATGAGGTCTGCGAAATTTTATGCCGAAAGAAAAGAAAGTCGTGCCAAAGAATATCACATTCTGTCAAGTCAAGGTTGGCTGAAGATTTTCTCCTACTCCAACACACCACTTATAGATTTGTCTGAATCACTGTTCATTTTCACCTTGAAGCGCTGGCGTTCGATACCGCTACTTGTTTAAAATGGGCACCTACGTTGACCAGCACTCAACTGTTGCCAACAGTTGAGTAGTGGGGAAAAGGGGAAACAATAGCGTTCAAAGGCGCTCAGCAAAAGCCGCTTTTTGTCAGCTGCTGCCGATTTCTCTAAGCGGTAAAAGTTTAAGCTCACCAACTCAACTTATGCTATAGACATGCGCAGAAGTGTCGTGCGTTCAGGAAATTTACTTCCGCTGTATCTCAACTATCCTCAACTGCTTTACGCTGCAAGTTAGCGGCTGAGTACTGGTGAACGTACCCAATTATTGACTCCTTCCAGTGTTTTCACGCCGCCGGTCATAGCTTTGTTCGAACACATCAAGAAACCGCCAATGTATACCATCATGATTCTGCGCAAAGTCAAAAAAATTTGCGTAGAACCCGAAATTCGTATACAGAGTGGTTTCTAGACCATTCATGGGACGGTTTTTGACTTGTTGAAACAAACCTCATATCATTCCGGTTCATAAAAATATAAATATCGGCGTTATCAGTATAAAAACTTGCAAACACACTTTTTGAGAATGCTGTAGATACTTCTCGAAATCTCCGTATTTTCAGTAAACGCTTGAAATATCTAGCTTTTGCTAGTAAGTAAAAGGAAAAGGTTATTCACTTCAATTTCAGCAAATGCTATTAGCAAAAGCTAAATATACCTAGTAAAAGCTAAAGCTATGACTTTATATTAAAAGTGAAAGCTTAGTTTTTATTCACACTGCCAATGGATTCTGCGGAAAGCCAAAAATTTGTGCGTAGAACCCGAAATTCCTATACAGAGTGGTTTTTAGACCGTTCATGGGAAGGTTTTTGACGTGTTGGAACCAAACCTCATACCATTCCGGTTTATAAAAATATAAATATCGGCTTTATCAGTATAAAAACTCGCAAACACGCTTTTTGAGAAGGCTGTAGAAATTTCACGCAATCTCCGTATTTTCAGTAAACGCTTCAAATATCTAGCTTTTGCTAGTTAGTAAAAGGAAAAGGTTATTCACTTCAATTTCAGCAAATGCTATTAGCAAAAGCTTAATCTACCTAGTAAAAGCTAAAGCTATCACTTAATACTAAAAGTGAAAGCTTAGTTTTTATTCACACTGCCCAATGTCATATCCATAACTTAACCAAGGTAAATATATATGGATAAGAGGTGTAAGTCTATTCAGCAAATATGTAGGATTGGACTAGAATGATTGAATGATTGAAAAAAAAAATCTTATTTTTCGCTTTGTAGATAAAAAGTTATACATCACATGTGCGTTCAAACATGACTACAAAACTCGTGTGATTAGAACTAGATTCTAATATTTTACTCTCGTTATTGTAATCATGTTCATAAACGCACTTATAATGTAAATAACTATTATGTACGACCTACACTGTAAGAGTTTATTACGTAACTCATTTTAGCCGGTTTGAGTTACATGTTACATCACTGAGTGATGTAATGAACTGCCATTACATCACTCAGTGATGTAATGAGAGCTCATTACGTAACTGATTTTTATTGAAAAACCGTACTTTTTAAAATTCATTCATCAAAAATTATAAATATAATCTTTTGTGAAAAATTAAAACCATTTCGAATATATGAAAAAAATCTGGGTCGTACATAAAATTTTGTATAACATACGTACGGTAACGCTCATTACACCACTCGTGTGATTAGCACTTGCCGGCTGAATGTATTATTTCATAAGTCAAGTCTTTGAGACGGCATAGGCGCATTCCTTTATACTATCTTGATCTGTTCGACTCGGTGCTTCGTTGCTCTTCAACCCAACCTCGTTAGTAGTTTTCGAACGCAGTAATTTTTACATAAAGTCTGTTTTTTTTTTAAAGATAATTCCCTAAGTCAAAAATTTAGTAACTATGTTGGCAACACAAGCCTTTTCTACATAAAACATTTGAAAGCATTGACAATTTTACATTGCATTACCAACATAATGTCATTTTGACTTTTATAGAATAGAATAGAATAATATTTATTTACGACTAATGTATAATGTGCGTATTATATTTGTGATTTTGGCAGTATAATGACATATGTTATTCCTCCAGGGATTAATGACGAGTAGCGGGATTAATGGTCATTATTCCACAAAAGTGTCAGTGTCAAACGTGTAGTGCTTGTGGATTTGTATTGAAAATTATGAGACGGATGAAATTTGTTCATTGAAAATCTCAAATAAATTAATTTGTCGTAAATAAAGTAGAGTATACTACTCGCAATAATGGCTATTATTCCCTCGGAATGTTACTCCCTCGCCGCTCACGCGGCTCAGTTCGTAATAATCCTCGGGAATAATAGCTATCATTATTGACTCGTGGTATAATCTACTATTATTGCGTAATTTGTACAGTATATATATAATAAATATAATACAAAAACAATACACAAAAGGCAACATTCGCTGGGGCGTTCTTCCATGATGCCCTGTCTCCTTGAACACTTTCATACTACTAGACAGATTCCAGTAATTGACTTTTATAAACCTTTTTAAAAATCACTAATGAATTATCAATTACGAATCATAGATATTTGAGTTAAATATGCAAAACAACTTCTAAATTTGGATGTTCGATGTAGCGGTATATTATATCTTACTGTATTTCTAAGATCCCTATTATGCAAGTCATTTCTAGGCACAATTAGAGACCAGAGATAACCAGGGCAATTACTCTTAAAAATCTTATAAAGAAAAACAGCAAAATGCAAAGAGACACGCGACTCAAACCTCAAGTGTTCATACTGCATGTAAATCAAATTTACCAGTACAAGAGACAAATCGTAGACAAGAATTTTGTGCTAACTGAATTTTATTTCTCAGTTCTTTTGTCAAGAAGCTGAAGTAAACAACACTACAGTAATCCAAGTGAGGGTAAATTAATGATTCAATCAGCATCATTTTTGTACTACATGGTAGTAAATACTTAAATGCATATAAGGATTTTAGTTTAAGATAGACTAACGACAGTTTTTTGGATATGTGAACACTGAAGCTTAAGTCACTGTCGATTATTAATCCCAAGTTTCTAGCGTTCTCGGCGTACGGAATCACCAACCCATTGACATTAAGAATTGTGAAGTTATACAAATCAAACCGATAACTACCAGCCCTTGAACCACATATTAAATGCACGCACTTTGACGTGTTCAAGAGCAATCCATTACTGATAGA